GATGTCCCATGTTGACTTTGCCAGGCTGTATGTTCAGAACCACATGGCCCACTTCACTGCCTTTGATGACCAATGTGATGCATCGGCTGTGCTGACATTGCTTGGTCGTATACCTGTGTCCCTTGCACCGGTACAAACCGCTGCAGATGATGTCAGAATAGCAAGAAATGACTGGGCGCATTGCGTCTTCACCAAATGGGATCAAACCAATTTTCTAAAGAGGTTTTCAGAGATGGAACACCTTGTGAAAATCATGGCTCCTCCAATTGCAGGAATACTTCTTGGAGAACTTAAAGACTGGGAGACTAAAGGTATTAACAAAGTAATGTGTTCTTTTCCACAACGGTATCCGAACGTCACTCGACCCTAATTCTTACTTTTATTGAATGATATCAGTTTTAATTCATTTCTGAAGAAAATGGGTTTTCCATGGTCATCATTACATGATATAATCATCAACGATGTACAGTGTGTATGATACCGTCCAGTGCATCGTTCTGGTAGCTTGATGTCCGTGTTTAACAGTTTTACAAGGGCGTGAATTGCATTTAAGTATACTTCGCCGTAGCATGAGGAAAGTGAAGTCCACTCTTGATTATTTTGACTCGTCATTTTTTAGGAACACACCTTTGCATGAACTCACCTGTGGACCCAGCTTTGATGAAACTGGTTCAACAAGAGCTGAAATCCCTGCAAGATGATGTGAAGAACATGTCTGCAGAGTGTGATAAAGAGAAGTCGAAACTCCAAAGTGAACTTCAAAATGCTGTCAGTGTTCTCGAGGAGATGGAACAGAAGATGGAAAGATTGGAGATTCGCCAGCAGAATGCGGAAAGCGAAATTGGCGATGTCAAGGATAGAATGAGTGCTGTTGAAGACACCATCTATAAACGTGAAGGTAACTTGAAGGCATCAATGTGTATCGGGGCTGTTCAGCAAATTTTTGTTTATTTTGCGAAAGCATCTGTCATCAGTTCCGAGATACAAGCGCGCTCGATAATTTTTTCCTACCAAACTTTGTCAAGCCTTACCAATCTTAAAAGGAGCCGACATCCTACCTCGAAGCAGAAAATATTTTTGTCAGCCGTGAAAACTGACAGATTTTTTATTTACGCGCCATGATCTGAAGGACAACGTCTTTCAAGTAAATTTGATCTCGCTTTGATCTGTGAAATCGCCGTGTGATTGACACTTTGTGGTCAACAAATATCTTACTGTTTTTCTTTTGTTTTGTTCCTTATTCTTACTGTTGTTGAGTGCACCCACGATTACCAAATTGAAAATTTAACGGAGACAACTTTCGTCGTGATTCTTGGTAGAGCCAAACGGGCCGTTACTCTCAATAGCCTGAGTATTCTCCCCCATAGAACATATATTAATTCCCTTTTTACGGTGTCTGATGTAGATTTATTAGGTGCAGGAATACCGTATTCGTCTTAGTGCATGAAATCTATATTTCTAAGTGCGCAATTGTCATTTCTCTACTCTAATTATTGCATGACATTTTTTCAAATATACTTATTTGTTTTTGTCAAAAGGGGCTCAAACACTGCTTGTCAAGCCTAGACTTCCTCCCCAGGATAAGGACTTCATGGGCCGGAGAAAAGAATGCGAGGAGATCATGAGTCACCTGTCCTCTGAATCCACCCGAATCGTCTCCATCTTTGGTCCGGCAGGATTTGGAAAATCCCAGGTTGCAATCGCGGTAGGAAATGAACTCCACCTTCAAAACAAGACGGTTTATCACCTTGAACTACGCGGAGTTCAAAACAAGAAGGAACTAATATCAAAGTTTCTTTGTAATTTCAATGTGTCACAGAATTGTCGCGATTTGGAGCCAGAAGATTCGCTTTGTTATCAACTTAGCCAAGTTAATGATCATTTGTATTTCATCCTTGATAATGCAGATAGGTTATTGGAACCGAACGTGAAGGATGATGTTATTAATTTGATTAAGGAAATTCTGACAAAATTTTGTAATGTGACATTTATAGTTACTACCAGAGAATCACCCACATTCTTGCATTTTGAATCGCTAGGCCAAATATTAACTAGAGTAGGAGGGTTAGGTATGTTTCATTGCAAGAATCTAGTACAGAAATTGCTTCCTGATTCTAACGATGACGAACGCAAGAAAATCGCGCAATTATGTGGATATATGCCTTTTGCCATTATTTTGATGTGCTGCTCCATTACCCAAAGTAAGAAGCCACTAAATGACACTATAGATGAATTTATTAGATCAACCAAAAGGATTGTAAGAGAGTTGGATGATCCAGAAGACGTCAATGATTCAAGACTGATAGGCATCTTTGGTTCTTCTTTCGAGAGTCTCTCGCAAAATGACAAAAAAGCCTTTGTAACCTTGTCTGTTATTCCAGGAAGCTTTGACGAGGACGTTGCTACAGCTGTCTTAGACAAGTCCAAGTCCAAGTCCAAAGCCGAAATGACGCTGAAAAGACTTCAGAGAAGATCACTTATAGAATCAAGCTCAGGCTCATATCAAATGCACAAACTCCTCCAATCGTTTGGAAGTGAAAAAGGTGATAACGAAATGAGCGAAGTCTTTCGAAATGCGAAAACCCGCTTCGTAGCGTACTACATTTCCAAATTTACTGATCTAAACGAAAAATTTCTTTCAGGAAAATCGAAGTCGATGTCGGCGTTTATTGCTTTCTATAAAGACAAGGACAGATTTATGTCAAGTCTAATCGAAGGTTGCTCTGAGAGTGGCACAACAAGCGACAGGGCTTTCGATGCTTTAATGGATGCAGAGCTGTTTCTGGACACACTTCTTTGGAGTGACAAGGTCACTTTTGACAAGATCTATGATTCAGCATTGAAAGAAGCAGAGCAGCGTGGAAATAACACAGTATACCAACAGTTGGTTGCCGCCAAAGCGTTCAGTGAGGTGACTTGGGGTACCGCAGAAGGGGAAACAATTTAGACACTTAGCGAAATTCGACCCTCCGCTTCATCGGATAGGCGGAAATCAATTGAAGGTAAGCGTGCATGCTATTTAGGCATCCATCAGCTCGTCAGTGGAAAGCTGAAAGAAGGTGTAAAACTTTTGAAAGGCGCTCTTTCACTTTTAGACGGCACCATAGGCCAGTTTCTTATTCTAAAGACCCTGGCTTGTCAGATCCTCTCCTTATGTTATGAATCCGAAAACAGATCAGAAAGGGCAGAAGAATTCCTCAAAAAGGCCAGCGAAGAATGTAACAAAATTGGAGACTCAAGCCTTTTAGTAATTCCCCAATTGAACAAAAATTTACCAAAAGAAGAAGAGGCCTCTTGGAATCGACCACTGGCGTTGGAAATGTATTTCATTATCTCCAAAGCAATAAAACTCTTCTCCCCGAAAACATTGAAGTCATTAGAACACGATGTTCTTCGAATGGAAAAAGAAATTTACCGAAAACCATCCGCAAATATCGGTAAAGTGGTCGCCATATTTCATTTCCACCGCAGCGTCGTGGGTGTATTAGCTGAGATGAACAAATATGAAGAAGCAATACAATCTATTAAAGCAACGATCAGTCTTCAGAAAGAAGTCCTAATGGAATGCACACACGATGGTGTCGGTTCCCAGGAGACCGAAAACAAGGATGACATTACCAAAGATTTTAAGCTTCAAGAGCACAAGGAGGCATTAGCCAAAAGCTACTCCTACCTCTCTGTCCTTGAATTCCGGGTAAAGGACTACAAGGCAAGCTTTGAATCCCAGAGGTGTGCCCTAGAAATCAGACGAGAGATATTTGGTGAGCGACATGCAAGCACAGTTGACAGTTATCATGAATTAGCCATCATTTTGAGAACCATGGGCGACTGTCTTTCAGCTCTCCACTTTCAGGAAAGTGTGCTTGCCTTCCGATTAAATCTTTCGGATCAGAACCCTTCAAAGACAGCAGACAGCTATCATGAATTAGGAGTGACACAGTGTAAAACGGGCGACTATGCTGCTGCTCGTTGCTCTCATGAACGTGCACTTCATATTAGACTAGAGCATTTTGGTAACAGGCATCAAGAAACCGCTAGCAGTTACCATGAGTTAGGAATTTCACAGTGGTCTATAGAAAAGTATGTGTGTGCCCTCGACTATCACAAGAAAGCACTAAGCGTTGCACTTGACGTACTGGGAGAGCATCACAGAGTTACAGCCGACAGCTACTACGAACTAGGGAAGACATACTTCTGCTTGGAAGACTACCGTGCTTCTCTCCGATCACATCTACATGCACATCGCACACGACTGGAGTTACTAGGCGATGAGCATCCTGACACGGCCAAAAGCAACCATGAACTTGGAGTCACCCATTACGCAATGGAACAGTATCCTTCAGCTCTTCGGTATCTCAAGTGTGCGTTTGCCGCAAGGCAGAAAATTCATGGAGCTCGACATGAAGACGTTGCCCAAAGTTACCATCAGCTAGAACGCACACAGTACAAAATGCAAGACTACACCCAGGCTTTTCAGTCATATAACTCGGCAGTTTCAATTAGAAAACGGTTATTGGAAGAAAACCACTCGAAGACAGCCGACAGCTATTATGGGTTGGGGATATTGTCTCTTTCCAACCAAGACTGTGCATCGGCTTTCGTCAAGCAGCAGAATTCTCTTACAAACGGAAAGAAGAATCTGAATGAAGATGACGCGAAAAGAGCCGACAGTCTCTATCACGTAGCGAGTTATGTGCAACGGAAGCTTCAAAACTATGAATTATCTCTGCAGTTGCATCAATGTGCCCTGGACATAAGGCTGAAGTTAACTGGCCAAAGTTACACCGCCAAAACGGCTGACAGCTACTACCAACTAGGACTGGTACAGTGTGACCTCGCCCGTTACGACGAAGCTTTTAATTCGCACCAGAAAGCATTAGAAATACGACTGGAA